CTCGAGCTTCTTCTCTAAATTTGTGATTGATTTTCCCTGGAAAAAAAATCAGATAAATAAACTCAATCCAGGTCTAGATCAGATTTCACTATCAGTTTTCGTCAAACCGATAACGTTTTTTTTTTTTTTCCTCCATTTATTTCATTTGTGATTTTTTTCTGGGGAGCATTTATTTTCTCTTCTGATCTGAAGTTTGTAGCTTCGTTTCGGAATTTGTCGGTCACTGTTCGATGATGTTTGTTTTAAAATGGGTAATTTTAGTTTGGTTGTAGCATAAGTTTTAGTTCGTAAATTAGGGTACTTTTAGCTCGATTTGAGTCAAAAACACTTGGATTCGATTCTTGATACGATCTCGTGTTAGAGAAAATTCTGGGTATATATATATTTATTCAATCGGACTTTGATTGTGAATTGGGGTTGGTTACGTACTTGCTTAGAAGAAAGAGAAAGAAAAAAAGGTTACTTTTTGATTGGAGATTGAAAAAATGGATCGTGTGGTTGGTGGTAAGTTCAAGCTTGGAAGAAAACTTGGAAGTGGATCATTTGGTGAAATTTTTCTAGGTATTGAATTTGTTTTTTGTTTTTGCTTGATTATTATGTCTTAACTTTATCTAATTAACTGAATTTGTTTTGTTTCAGGAGTGAATGTACAAACTGGTGAAGAAGTTGCTGTGAAGCTGGTAAGTTGCAATGTCAACCATGTGTCCCTCTTCATCTCAACATTATTGTCTCAATGATCAGTGGTTTTGATAGTGGTCTTCGTGTTTGAACTTAGTTAATATTTATCATCCTTGTGTGTTGATATTTGCTTGTTTCTCGTAGGAACCTCTTCGAGCTAGGCATCCTCAGCTTCATTATGAGTCAAAGCTGTATATGCTTCTCCAAGGAGGAAGTAGGTTTTGCATTGCGTGTTCGCTCTTGAGTTTTGAATCACGAACCCATTTTTTTGTTTTAACTTATATGTATGTTTTTGTGTTATTGAAGCTGGTATTCCTCACCTGAAATGGTTTGGGGTTGAAGGTGAATACAACTGTATGGTGATTGACCTTTTGGGTCCTAGTATGGAAGAATTTTTCAACTATTGCAGTCGATCGTTCTCTCTAAAGACGGTTCTAATGCTTGCTGATCAGATGGTAAATATCTTTCTCTTTTCTTTTGATATTATGTTTGTTTGCATGTACTTACACTCTGGTTTCAATTTTTAATATCTCCAGTTAAATAGAGTCGAGTATATGCATGTGCGAGGGTTTCTTCATCGTGATATTAAGCCAGATAACTTTTTGATGGGTCTTGGACGCAAAGCAAACCAGGTGAGTTTTCGAAAAGACCACTGTTTGCGAGCTTCGGCAATTTTTATAAGGAGGATACATTTGTTTACCTTACATCTTTGCATATTCCTTTGCAGGTGTACATCATTGACTATGGGCTTGCGAAAAAGTATCGAGATCTTCAAACACACAAGCATATTCCCTACAGGTACAGATTTAGTCTCGCCATGTAGAAAGATTCCAGCTCTGTGTTTAACTCACAACTTGCATTGCAATGTTCACTATTTTCTGTCAAGCAATCTTTGTACCTAAATGATTATGCAACTGCCAAAGTTCGTTTGTTTTCTTAAATGACTTTCACTTCGTTAATTGGGAGAGTTACTTCTTAGGGAAAACAAGAACCTTACAGGAACAGCTCGATATGCAAGCGTTAACACCCATCTTGGAATTGGTGAGTTTTTTTTTTCTTGCCTCTTGTATTTGCACGAGGAGATTGTCTCCTGTGCTTTTACCATTAAATTGTATGTATTTGAGAGACTTGACACTTCATTATTTAATATTCAAATATAATATCTCGTACGCAGAGCAAAGTAGGAGGGACGATCTGGAATCTCTTGGCTACTTGCTTATGTATTTTCTTCGAGGAAGGTAAGTTGATATATCTGTACATGTTCTATTCTTCCATGTATTATTGTTGTCCCTGATCCATAATATCTGTTTCAGCCTTCCTTGGCAAGGCCTTCGTGCAGGTACCAAAAAGCAGAAGTATGACAAGATCAGCGAAAAGAAAAGACTTACACCAGTGGAGGTATTTATTCCCTCACCCATTAAAGGAAACTTCTGTGGTTTTGCAGTATCGTGAATTCAAAGTTCTAAAGCTGAGAATTTTGATAAGATATTCTAAAGCTTGCCTTAAAATCGTCTTTGGCAGGTCCTCTGTAAAAACTTTCCGCCTGAGTTCACATCGTATTTCCTCTATGTGCGTTCATTACGGTTTGAAGACAAGCCAGACTACTCATACCTAAAGAGGCTTTTCAGAGAATTATTTATCCGAGAAGGTTGGAAAATTGTTGAACATACTTATCTGATGTGTGTATGGTTGAACAATTTTAACAAATAAATACTCAAGAAATTGCTTTGATTCTCATTTTTACAGGTTATCAGTTTGACTATGTGTTCGATTGGACAATATTGAGGTATCCTCAGATCGCCTCCAGTTCCACTTCCAAACCAAGAGTAAGTCCATTCTGAAGTTATATGTGCAGAATCGTTATCATTTTAAATTAAGTAGCAACCTTTTCACGCTTTTCCTCTGTTCCGATAGCCAAGCCTAAGACCAGCTCTGAATATTCCAGTACCATCTGCCGAGAAAGCAGAAAAGCCGTCAAGTAAGCATCAGATATTATCAAATTGTTGTCTAAGCTCTTAAGAGGTAGTTGTTGAAGAAACTCAGGTATTAACAAACTGTTCTTTGAATAATATACAGCTGGACAAGAGAGCCGCGATAGATTCTCAGGTGTGGTCGAGGCATACACCAGAAGAAATGGCTCAGGAACCGGCTTTCAAGCTGATCTGTCTAGTAGACCAAGAACCTCAGAGAATGTTCTTGCATCCAGAGACACGGTTAGTCATCAAATACCTCCTTAAAAATCCAACCTTTTATTTCCAGAAACCGTTCTACTTGATATAATTTGGTTACCAGAAGATCTTACAAGAGAACCCTTTTTCTGTTGAAACAGCAAAACCAGGAGAGACCAATCACTTCTTCAAGAAAAGCAATTGCTGGGTCAAGTGTTCGAGCAACTTCCTCGGCTGATTTCACAGAGAATCGATCGAGCAGACTCGTCCCAAACAACGGTCGGTCCTCTACAACTCAGAGGACCCAGTTTGCTCCTTCGTCCTCCTCTTTAGCCGCAAAGCCTGCACCATCAAGAATTCCTCCAGACGTTACGCTCGAGTTCCTAACAATTGGGAATGGAAAGAGGAAGTGACTGGTCTGGATTTGCAGCTCACACAAGTTCACGGTTGGATGATATTTGATCCATCTTTGTTTGAGAAATTGTTGGTAAGAAAGAAAGAAACAAACATGGTTTGTTTGAAGATGTATGTGATAAATACATATATGGCTTTTCATGTTATTGTATTGTATTTACTTTACATTTATGTTACACCCTTTTACGCCAACAAGTTATATAGTTTAAGCTTTAAACTAATCCAACGAATTCGATCATAC